CTGTCAGCGTGCGAGAAGAGGAGGAGAGAGAGAGGGTCAGAGTTAAACAGATGCCTTTTCTTGCTGGGATCACACTTCCCTCCGCCACCGCTTGCCGGCACCAACGCCGACCGCGCCCCCTCTGCCCCTGTGTGTGTGTGTGTGTGTGTGTGTGTGTGTGTGTGTGTGTGTGTGTGTGTGTGTGTGTGTGTGTGTGTGTGTGTGTGTGCGCGCGCGCGCGCGCGCGCCCGTGCATACATATGTGAAAAAGTGCCATTGTGTTTCTCACACCACACCCACACTGCAGATATTCAGGCAAACATTTAACACCAACAAGTGCAGTTGCAAGAACATTCAGCAACCCAGCCCACAGACACACACGGCCCTCCACCGACGCCCAACAAGCACACGCTGAGATCCCACACCTGTCCCCCGCCGCACCTGCCAGTCCCGGGCGCTACTTACCCGCGGGGACGGACTCTGGCCGGCTACCCGTCCTAACAGTTCAAAAAAAGGCTTTATCCAACCCTCCCTTACATCATCCCTAATCTAATCCATCCCTGCAACCAAATTTACCCATGCCTCTGCTAACGAATCACTTATCCTACTTTCTTCCTCCTGGCGGGTCCATTACTCGAAAATGTATAATCCAATTCATTCTTAAATATAGCCCCTACTTAGTCGATTACTTACCCAGCTATCCATCCCAGGAGATTCCCAGTAGAAAAACAGCCTATCCCTCCTATCCCTGTAAATCCTTCCCCGAACCCAGCCAAGCATCTGCCCAGATTCCCCCCCCCGCGAGCTCATTCAACCAGAAGCGTCTCATTCGCCCATCCCTCAATGCGGTGTAAGCATGTATGTCCCTCCGCCCCTCTCGGGGCCGTGGGCGTGTGCGGGGGGAGGGGGGAGGGTTGGGCCGAAGCGGTGGCGGTTTTCCCACCACCTCGTGCACGCCCGCACGCCCGCTAGTGCCTGGCGCCGCCCTCGTCCGCTGGGTGGAGGCTCAGTTCGGCCTCCACCTCCGTGCGGGCGGCCCGGGCGGAGAGTGGGCGTGCGGGCGTGCACTAGAGTGAACCTCAAGAGAGACTATTATTTCTATAGAAGGAAGATATTACCAAGTTAGAAAATGTCAACTTATTTTTTTAATCAATCCATTAATGAAGCCTTATTATTCTGCAATAAAGAAAAAATATAGAAAAAAGTTATCCAATTGACACTAAAAGTTCTTATTCTGACAAAGTTAATCATTACAGAAAAATGTAGCATTAATCATTTAGAGAAATACAGAAGCCAACCTACTCAAAAGATAAGGAAAAAGTGACTAAATTCTTTGGAGTACAAGTGCATGGGAAAGGGGGGGAAGGGAGAGGGTGCATGAGCCAAGGGGGCAAGTCAAACAAGTGAAAAAAACAAACAAACAAACAAAAAGTAATATTAAAAGCTCAAACCAAGAAATATTAAGTGTTAGTAGGTTAAATACAGCAAAACGCGGCAGTATCTTTTCTGGCACTTCCAGACGAAATGAGGTTTTGAAAGGTTTTCCGATATGCTTTTCCTCTTAGTTTCGTTCCCTCGTTTATCCCCTTTTCAGCTTTCTTTCCTTTTGAATTGCTGTAGTTCTCGAACACGAAATTATTCTACAAAATCAAAACGAAACTCCTTTTTTCTTCTCACTCTTCCCAGAACGACCTCGCTCGCGTTACGCAACGTGACTTAAAAAAAAAAAAAAAAAACCTTCGACAAACACTACAAAAGGGGGCAGTCGCCTCCCCTCCTTCCCCGCCTCGACCCCCCCCCCAGCTCCCTCCGCCCCCACCCTGGGAGGGATCCGCTCTCTAGGACTCTCTTGGACGTGAAGGATCGATGCTCCGCTCGGCCCCTCCGCGCCCCCCCACATTCCGCCCCCTTCTCCTCCTCCCCCCCCGCCCCGTCTCCCCTTCACTCTTTGCTCTACCCTTCCCCTTCCCCTTTCTTCCCCTTCCCCTTCCCTCCCCCCCCCCCGCTCCCCCTTCCCTTTCGCCCCAGTGAACTTTTCATTTCAAGCATCATTCCACCGTTCTGACGACCACAAAATCCGCCGAACCGCCACGCTCCCTTTAACCACCAGACTCTCGCCCCTAACGACACGGGGATCTCCATCAACGATGTCTTCCGAGCAAGGTCACCGCAACCACATCAACCAAACCAGCTGCAATCTGCAACGTACTGCAGAATCCACCGCCCGTTCCCGCCCGCCACTCAACCGCAAGTCCCCTACAACCTTGCAATGGCGTCCTGCCGAGCCACCGCAAGAGAGAAGAGAAGGGGGGAGAGGGGAGAGGGGAGAGGGAGGGAGAGAGAGGGAGAGAGAGAGAGAGAGAGAGAGAGAGAGAGAGAGAGAGAGAGAGAGAGAGAGAGAGAGAGAGAGAGAGAGAGAGAGAGAGAGAGAGAGAGAGAGAGAGGAAGGGGGGGGAGGGGGAGGGGGAGAGGGAGAGGGAGAGGAGGGAGAGAGAGAGAGAGAGAGAGAGAGAGAGAGAGAGAGAGAGAGAGAGAGAGAGAGAGAGAGAGAGAGAGAGAGAGAGAGAGAGAGAGAGAGAGGACGCGTGCAAAGTGAACAAAACTGTAGCTCAAATTGTCACCCGCGAGATCCCGAACGTCTTCGTCAGCTGCGGAATGCCCCCCCCCCTCTCCCCTCCGCCACGGACTACGTAACCTTGCCTTATTCCTTTCTCACTTTTTCTATTTTCTTGTTTCCTGCATGTCTACATCCCCAATTGCTTTCCGTAATTTCCCAATTCTTCCTTTCGTTCTTTCCGCTTAATCTTACCTTTTCGTTCTCTTTTTATTCTTCTCTTCCTTCCTCCTCCTCCTCCTCCTCCTCCATCTCCCCCTCCTTTTTCCTGGTTTCTTTCCTTAAAGGGCAATTCCTCTTCACTTACCTATCTCCCCCCCCCCTCCCTCCTGCTTCCCTGGCCGTGTCCGCGCCGCATCCCTAAGCCTCTGTTAACAACGTGTGTCCGGCCGCACGCACACGCCGTCGGGGAGGCTGGGGTGGGGACAGGGGGGGGAAGGGGAGAATGGGTAGGGGAATAAGAGGGCAAAGGGGAGAAGGGGGAGGGGAATAAGAGGGCAAAGGGGAGAAGGGGGAGGGAGAAATAAAAGGGGGAGGAGGACGGGAAGGAGAGAAGGGGAGGCATAGGCGAGGAGGGGGGAAGAAAGAAAGAAAGAAAGAGAGGGGAAGAAATGGATGAGGGAGATGGGGGTGGGGGGTTCTGAGTGACAATATTCACTCAGGAACTTCTAGGATTATCATCATATCTTATTATCATGATCGTTGTTGCTGCTTATCATTGTCTGCGGAGAAAGGCGAGAGAACGCAAACAACGCCTCAATTAGCCAGCCAACCAGCGGCGCTTATGAACAGCCGCAAAAAAAACGAGAGAAGAGGAAGAGAAGAGAGGACAGATGAGGGAAGTGATAAAGACAGAAAAAAAAAGAAAGAAAAGATGAGAGAGGAGGAGGAGAACGAGGAAGACCCGAGCTTGTGCCAGGGAGGGCCGGCCCCGCATGACGCGCATGACAACCGACTGCAGCAAAGGCATGGCGAGCGCGAGTACCTTCAGCAACAGGAGGACGGCGCTCGAGGGATGCAAGGACACGTCAAGGGACAGGAAGGCGAGGGCGGCCGTGCCAAATACCCGGCGATGCCCGCGCCCGTGTTGCCAGGTGAACACCCGGGCGGGGATGCCGTCGCTTCCGCGCTGCAGTCTCGGCACGACTTCCTCGTAGGCGGGCGAGAGAGAGAGAGAGAGAGAGAGAGAGAGAGAGAGAGAGAGAGCGAGAGAGCGAGAGCGAGAGCGAGAGAGAGAGAGAGAGAGAGAGAGAGAGCGAGAGCGAGAGAGAGAGAGAGAGAGAGAGAGAGAGAGAGAGAGAGAGAGAGAGAGAGAGAGAGCGAGAGCGAGAGCGAGAGAGAGAGAGAGAGAGAGAGAGAGAGAGAGAGAGAGAGAGAGAGAGAGAGAGAGAGACCCATCGTCCGTCCACTATCTCTTCTCCTTCTCCACCCCTACCTCCACCTCCAACACCCAAGTCCTCGCTCCGATCCCCTCCACGCCCTCCCTCCCTCCCCCCTTCGCTTCCGTCCTGCCCGCGCCGAAGGGGGAGCAGCAGTGAATCAGGAAGAAAATGGCTGAGAGAGAGAGAGAGAGAGAGAGAGAGAGAGAGAGAGAGAGAGAGAGAGAGAGAGAGAGAGAGAGAGAGAGAGAGAGAGAGAGAGAGGGAGAGAGAATGAAGCTAGTGAGGATACGGAGTACTACAGAAGAAACGAGCAAGGAGAGAGAGAGAGAGAAAGAAAATGGGCGAAGTAGCAGCACCGGAGGGGAGGCGCAGCGCCGAGGCAGGGCCGTCGGCGGACGAGAGACCAACATAGCAACAACAGGAATCTGACGGTCAAGGTGAGGCGACCAGTCAGGCAGGAGATTCAAGGCGCGGGCAGGGCAGCGGGGCACAGGGGCGGCGGGGCACGGGGGGCGAGGAGGGGGCATCATCGGGGGGGTATTAGATCACTAGAACAGCGCGATTGTTCTTTTCTTTTGCAACTTGCACACATTGTCACTGGTGGACGGAACGGGACGGGGGTACGGGGGTGCTTTTGACGTGCCCTGGGCCACTGAGGACGTCATGCTGGGCGTTGCGTAACAGATGCAGGTCGGGTTTAGTAACGCTTCGCTGTAACTATACGAAGGAGAGGAGAAAAGAGGAGAGGAGAGAAGAGGAGAAAGAGAGGTTGTGGACGTTCAGATTCTACCAATATACATCTGTTCCAGTTTATCGATCTATAGTTGTAAGAGAATATAAATACACATTCCATCAACCTCCGCCACCATCGAACAGCACAGCCGACAATGACAGCGGTTTCGCCAGCTGCAGCCTGTCTCCGGGGGAACTGTGCCATTGCCAGGCAGGATGCAGCGACCCGTGGCACCAACGCGCCCCTTGGCACCCTCGCCCCGCCGTCGAGAGCGTTACAAGACACGAAATAT